TGTCGATCAGCTCTTAGGGCAGAGGTGTGGGGCGTAGCACCTCTGTTGGTTGGCCCCCGGGATCGGAGGAAGCACCCTGGCCTTTGAAGAAGGCTGCATCCCAGACACCCCAGTGGAGCTAATGCATTGCAGAGACATGAAAAACACCCAACAGTCCCATTCTGGCCTTCTACAGCCAGAATTCATTCTCTGGCCCATTTGGTAAAGGACCAGTTGGGTCTGAGGGTTTTCTGGGTAACCGAGGGTTAATCGGGAATGTTCTGAATTTGTTTCAACTACCCTGTGGGTAGTTTGCTCTAAACCCCAGAGTTGTCCATGCTGCCTTAGGAATCAGAGGGAGCCCTGGCACACCCTTCTGTGATCTGGGTAGAGGTTATAAACAGAGCATCTCAGAGCCTATCCCAGAACCCTCACTGAGCCCCGACCCCTCAGCAAATTTTTGTGTTTCCTTTACTTTTAGGTCACTGGCCTCTTGAACACAAGAGACCACCAGGGGGCCTAGTCTGTTGCAAGTTGGGGGGTGAGAATAGGTAGAGTGGGTTGGCAGTGGGCTGCCGATCTCTCATTCCTTGTCCTTGAAGTGAGCTGTTGGTTTCAGGACAGCATGTGTCCTTCCTGTCCAGGGTGGGGAGCAGGGCTGGCAGGTGCTGTTAACCTTTGAGATGTCTGATGAAGGACAGGATGAGGCAACCCTTGGTGGCACCCGAGTACTGAGGACGGAGTACCCTGACCTGCTGCTGGCGAGGCGTGGCGATGTTTTCATTCCAGGCTTGCTGGGTTTAATGTCTGTGGCTACCTGTGTGCCCTTGGGTTGCCCTCTCAGCCTCTGCCTGGCCCCCCCTGGCCTCTGATTCCCAATCTTCAGCCTTTTGCTTTGCTGGACTTTGGTGAGGGCCGTGCAGGCCTGCCCTGCTGTTTAATCTTGGCAGAGAAATAGTTCTTCATACCTAGTGCCTTGGAGAGATGAGAGTGGGTTGAGACCCCCGTTCTTGCCTACCATTTAACTCTGGCCCCCACGTGCCCCGATGGTGGGGTGCAGGGAACCGTGGGTGCCAGCTGCAACACTGGCTTCCTTGCCCAAGTGTGTCCCTGTCCTTAAAGGTCAGGATCTTGGGGACCCCGGTGTCCCTGTTGGCACCACCTTTGAGTGTGGGCATAACTAGACCTCTAGTGTCTCGGAACCCAGCTGGGTATTCAGGGTTCCTTTCATAAGCTGGAGAACAAAATGGTACCGTGGAGTCCCTGAATTTGGTCTTTTCTTCCTCACTCCCTTCATTTTGCTTCCTTTCCTCACACCTTCAAATAAAAATATTAAGAGGGGAACATTCCTCACTTAAAATGTGGCCTCAAGGTCTGGTCACCCTGTGCCTTTGAGACACCCTGGGCGTGAGATTCATTCATGAGCCTCCGGTGTTCTAGAAGGGTCTGGTCTGTTCATTCATGACCAGGGTAATTAAATAACTCTTTGTGAGCGACATGGAGCGCCTAGTTAAGTGGTCTTCCCTAATGTAAGTGCAAACACAGGCGAAATCCTTCCTCTCCTCAACACCCACCGCCCCCCCCTTCCCCTTTAAAGGGGAGATTTTATGCTTTAAGGGAAAAGGGGAAGGGAGGGGAGGGGTGGGAGACAACCTGAAAGGAATTTTAGGCCAATTCAGCATTTTTCTGGGGTTGCTCCAAAAATTCCCTAAACTGTAATAAAAAGAAAAAATTGTGAGCAGGCATCTGATTAGTTGGCTTTTTACAACACAGCTTTTCTTTTGGATGCTTTAAAATGCACAAATACAGTTTTCAAACAAGCCCCTGTACAGTTTTCTGAAGGCGCGCTGGGGGAGGAGAAGTAGTTGGAAATACCTGAAAAGGTTATAAAATGGAGGGAAATTACTGAGGGGCTGCGAGGGTTGCCTCTAGTTAAGTGTTAGCAGCCACGAGAAGGCAAATGTGGGCTTCTGTGGCTCTTCCCTGGCCCTGCCAATATGGGGGACGTCTGCGTGAGAGCCTCCCACCAGTCCTGGGAGCCCCCAGGAGCTCAGCGTTTGCACAGATCTTTGTGGGGAGCCACTCGTGGGCTGTGAACCTAATTCTGGGGACTGTTTCTCTGAAGGTGGTGCTGAGCACTTCCTAGAAGTGAGTCCAAATGAGGGGTAATTCAGAGCAAAGGAGGGGGAATCTGAATGTTGTAGTGCCCCCCAGAAGCGTGACCTGTTACGGGGGCCTTCCACTGTTGCTTGTGGTTTTGCTGGAGAGCACGTTTCTGTGTTCAGAATTAGTCTAGGGCCAGCGAGGATTGTGGGGCTGTGTTATCAGGCACCGGGAGGCTTGGGGTGACAGTGTGGTGGCCTGGAGGGGCGGGGAGGGGTGGGCAGGGGTCCTGTGGCGGCGAATTAGGCACCAAGTGGGTCTTCATGAACACAGGGACACCCACACACTGCTGTCTATCTGGGCTGGGCCATTAACCTCCACAGCAAAGGCTTTTTCCAGGGGATGTCTGGCAGCAAATTGCTGGGTGGATTGGCGGGCTGCACAGATGAAAGAGAAACCCGCCAGAACGCTTCCCCCCACTCCCTCCACACGACCTCAGGCCCCAGTCCCTCCCCCCAGCTTCCTCTACCCCCAGAGGCCCGCCAGGCAGACTAGGCCCCCACCCCTTGCCTGTGGGCTTGGCATGGGGGCAACTTGATCCCAGGCCCCACCCCACCCACTGCTCCTCCTGCTCCTCCTCCTCCTCCCTGCAGTGGTGCCAGGTTTCAGGGGGCCAGACTCTGTGATACAAAGTATTGTGAGGGTCCCTGAGGGTCTCCTGAAGGTCCCTTCCAGCAACGCCCCGAGTCTTCCTTTCCTGGCTGGGTTTGTTGTCCCCAGTTGGGATAATACGCAAGAGATTCTTACATTTCAAAACACCCTCTTCCCCCAAATGGGCCCGACAGGCGCCCTGTGCCTTCGAGAATCAGACTTCTCTCCTTCCCAGCAAACGTGTGCATGCCAGCGTGTTCTTATTTACGTGGATGTTGTGGGTCTCCCGTGTAGCCTTCAGAGCTGAACTCCCTCGGCAAGAAAGTTCAAAGATTGCCAAAGCTCACGAGTTTATTAGCAGTTGATGGATACTCTGCAGAAACAAGTTAATGCCTGATGAGTCACCTTCTGCTTGGAGCCTAGTCCCTCTCTTGTTTTTCCATATGTTCCAGTGTGCGCACACACACACTTATACGTGTGCTGACACTCATGGGCGCACGCCTGTACTTTATAGATGCGAGTGGGGGTGTGTGGGTGTGGGGGGTTGACGGGCCAGTTTTCTGGTGTTGATTTTCGGAGGGGCGGAGACTGAGGGAAAGGAATGAGCCCCCAGCTTCCCCATTTTGTGTAGCTGTCTGGCAGGCATTTGACAAAGCCAGTTGTTGGGGTGTTTGCAGGAGACTCCCACTTTTGTTGGGTCACAGTTGCACATTTGTGCAGGCTTATTCATGGGACACCTCCATGCAAGACTGGCTGCTGCTTAAAAAAAAGTTAATGGAGCTGACTGGCTCCCAGGTCCCAACATGCCTGCAACGCTGGAGGAGTTGGTGTGCTGAGCTGCACTGGGTTACCCAGCCTGCTGGGGCAGCAGGGCAGGGCCCCCAGCCCCTCAGCACTCCTCTGCCTTTGCCACTACACTGTATAACCCATCACCATAGACCTTTTTAACCCAGTGGCTTCAAAATCAAAAAGGTCAAACAAACCAGAAAGCACCTCGACCACCCCCATGCTCCAAGCCCCCCTAAAAGTGAGAAACAAGGGTTGCAAGGGAGGGCAGGATGAGGCCTCTCTGCTGCCTGGCTCCCCCTGCCCCCCTTTGCCTTTCCCCATTTTTGTTAACAAATACAAGACTTCCGGTCTCCGCCCTGCCACCACAAACCACAGCGTTCCTGCAGCTTGGCCTGGCTGGCTGGGCTGGGGAGATTTATGTTTCCCACTCTGAGGCCTGCCCCTCTGGCTCCTGCTTAAGGAGGAGTCAGAACGCCAGCTGTTGGGGCTCCCTCTTCATCCATAAGGATCCCCCTTTAAAGACCTCCAAGTGCCCGAGTAGGACAGTCACCTTACAGAATCACCCAGGTCTCCCTGAGGCCCCAGGAAGAAAGTCTAGGAAAGCCTGGGTGCGGCTGCCAGGGGAGGGTGGAAGCAGGGGGCAGGGCCCCAAGTCCAGATGCTTCTGGGCAGGGAAGGGCGGTGGAGGGCACTCCAGGAATGGTGGTACCCATTTGAGACACGGAATCTGTCTGGACTGCAGGAGCTTCATTAAGGGAGTCTGGGTCAGCCCTGATCTGTGTTTTGTGATTTGGCATTTTGACATGAATTCGACCTTTGTGTTCAGAGTGGCTACAGACAGACACACTGAGAGTTGTTTTTCTGTTGGGAAAATAGATGTTTTTGCCCCAAACTACCTTCGTTTTATTTTCCTAAGATACACTCCCCTGTGACCAAGAAACTGATTTCAGAATTGGGTGGTGAGCTCAGAGACCACAGAGTGGGTGGGCCTGGAGTCTGAGGCTCTGCTTCTCCGGCTCGATGTGTCACCCCTGGGATTCTAGCAGCAAGCTCCCTGGTCCTGGTTTTCACAGGAGGATGACCAGGGAGGCTCCACAGAACAGCTAGCCTTCAAGGTTTCATCCAGTTGAGAAACTAGTTGCAGGCTGTCCATAAAGGCCTTTTCTAGGTCGAACAGCAGGGCCCTCCTGGTGTCTGAGCTCTGTGGGATGGCGTCTCCTTCGGCCAGGTGGGCACGTGCCTGGTGTCCCGAGTCCTGAAGGTTGGGGGTGTGGCCGGATCCCTACTGGTCCAGGGTCAGGGTCTCTGGTTCCCGGTAGGCTGGTGGAGGGTGTGCAGCACCTCTGGCCCGGACATCCCCTCCTCCCGTCCTGAGGGCACAGTGGTTCGGGGGTGGCATGTGTGTGTCTTGATTCCAGGAGGAAAGGAAAATGCCTGTCCCCGTCCCCACCAACAATGTCCACCGTTGTGTTTTGTAGATTCCCAACTTCTTCTGGAGCCTGGGGATCGGTCACACTGGTGCGTGGTGGCATACTGGGAGGAGAAGACGAGAGTGGGGAGGCTCTACTGTGTCCAGGAGCCCTCCCTGGACATCTTCTATGATCTACCTCAGGGGAATGGCTTTTGCCTCGGACAGCTCAATTCGGACAACAAGAGTCAGCTGGTGCAGAAAGTGCGGAGCAAAATCGGCTGCGGCATCCAGCTGACGCGGGAAGTGGACGGCGTGTGGGTGTACAACCGCAGCAGTTACCCCATCTTCATCAAGTCAGCCACACTGGACAACCCGGACTCCAGGACGCTGTTGGTACACAAGGTGTTCCCCGGTTTCTCCATCAAGGCTTTTGACTACGAGAAGGCGTACAGCCTGCAGCGGCCCAACGACCACGAGTTCATGCAGCAGCCGTGGACTGGCTTCACCGTGCAGATCAGCTTCGTGAAGGGCTGGGGCCAGTGCTACACCCGCCAGTTCATCAGCAGCTGCCCGTGCTGGCTGGAGGTCATCTTCAACAGCCGGTAGCCGCGTGGGGAGAGGACGGAGCGCGAGCCGAGCCGGCCCGGTCCAAACTACTTTGCTGCTAATGTTTTCCTCCTGAGTGCTTGCTTTTCATGCGGACTCTTTGGTTGTTTTTCTACCCCATCTTGTCGTTCTTGTTTATGTTCTGCTTTGTTTTGTTCTTTGAGAAATAGCTTATGGAAAGAATTGTCGGGGTTTTTTTTTTTTTCCCTTGGGCAGGAGGAGTGGTAGGGTTGGCAGAACATCCAAAATGAAACGGGGAAGCAAAAGTCAGAGTACCCCAAACCCAGTGTATGAATGAGGATCCCTGCTTGGGGGGGTCATTGTTTCGCTTGCTGGTCTCTGTGTGTGTGTGTGTGTGTGTGTGTGTGTGTGTGTGTGTGTGTGAGAGAGAGAGAGAGAGAGAGAGAGAATGTCAGGTGGGGGACCCTGTGCTTGTGTATTTCTTCCGGAAAGCATTGTCTCTCTTGCCCTTTGGACATGCTCAGAGGGTAGAGGCAGTACCTGGGCGAGCCCTGCTGTGGTGGCTGTGTCAGTAGCTGCCAGAAGTAAGGCTCTTCCACCAGCCTGGGGGAACGCCCGGCCGCCTCTCCCTTACTGCAACCCTGGCCTGTCCGCTGGCTTCTTAGAAGCAGCCCTGCTAGAGACCAGAACCAGTCGTTGCCATTCTTGTCTTAACACCCTCCGGCCAACCCTCCTGCCTCCTGCCCCTGCCACTGTCCTGTCTTTTTTGGCCATCTGCTCCTGGATCTCTCTGAGATGGGCTTCCCGAGGGCTGCCAGGGCAGCCCCGTCACAGTATTGCTCACCCAGTGCCCTCTCAGGTGCGCGCCCCCCCTCGCCCCCCCAGCCTCTCCCCTGCCCTGGTTACATCAGGTTTTTCCCGGACTCAGAAAACCAGCTCAGCACTTTCCTCCCTCCCCAGCCTGTGTGTTGAGCTCTGCTGTTAGACCAGCGAGGGGTGCACCCCTGGGAGGGAGACTCTCAGCAGGCCCCGTCCTGGGCTGACACCTAACTCTTTCATTTCTTCTACGACTCATACACTCGTATGATCCTTTGACACTGCTCTTAGCTCAATGAGCATGTTTAGACTTTAACATAAGCTATTTTTCTAACTACAAAGGTTTAAATGAACAAGAGAAGCATTCTCATTGGAAATTTAGCATTGTAGTGCTTTGAGAGAAAGGACTCCTAAAAAAACTGAGATTTATTAAAGAAAAATGTATTTTATGTTATATATAAATATATTATTACTTGTAAATATAAAGACGTTTTATAAGCATCATTATTTATGTATTGTGCAATGTGTATAAACAAGAAAAATAAAGAAAAGATGCACTTTGCTTTAATATAAATGCAAATAACAAATGCCAAATTAAAAAAGATAAACACAAGATTGGTGTTTTTTTCTATGGGTGTTATCACCTGGCTGAATGTTTTTCTAAAGGAGTTTATGTTTCATTAAACAATTTTTAAAATGTATACTTGATTCCATGTTCTCCAGCTCCTTTTTCTTTGGGGTGGAAGGGCGTGGGGAGGGGCATCCGTCAGAATCCAGGTCATTTGGGGGCTCCCTAGCCCAGGTCACTCGGTTGGGAGAACTTTCCCAAAGGGAGACACCCAGAACGGCCTCGTCTACCCTAGCTTTTCTTCCCCTTAGTGGGCTAGAAAGACCCATGGCTGCACAGACCCTCCTCTTATTAAACAACAAAGGCTAGACAAGTGGCCCTGGGGTGCAGCTAGCCCGTGTCCCGAGTGTGTACTGGGGCAACCTCGAGTTATAAAAAGACAAGCGATTTTTCAAGTCAATGAGGAAATAACCTCGGGAGATAGGACAGGGCGGTGTAGGCCCGAGATTCTAGGTCCACTGGTTCTTGCTTGCTAACTCCTCACTGGCATGGAAGCCTGAGCCCACTGCGCCTTTCCCAGAGGAGGGTCACTTTGCCAACCCATGTTCTGGGGCAGGTACCCTGAGAGCTGAAACCCTGGAATAGTGGTGGGTGGGGGGGTGGCAGGGGAGGCGGTGGGGGTGGAGGCCAGACTGCCTCCCCTATCCTTCCCAAGTAGTGTCCCCACTACTCAAGGTCACCCAGTCCAGGTCCTAATCTGCAGTCTCCCCTCTGGACTCTTCAGTGACTGACCACTGCTGTCCTGGGCTGCTGCAGCCCCAATGGCACTTTCTGGTAAAGCACCTCTTAGCACTGTGCCCCTGGGGCTTCTGCTGCTTGATTGAGCCAGGTTTTAGGTTCAAGGATTTGTACCATACATGGTTCCAAAGTGGGCACCAGAAGGCCACCACTCCTCTAGGGGTCTTGGACTTGAAATCTAGGAAGGGGGTCTCTGAAGTGAGTTAAGATTGTCAATATCAAACTGGTACAATTAAAAAAACCTTTTTGAGGACCGAAACAGGATTGCCAATTTTTTATTTTGCCAAATGACACAAAGCAGCAGAGAGGCTACTGGTAGCACCACTTCATTCAAGGGAATTATAATACAATTGGTAGTAAGGAGCACTAATACAGAGGGTTTATGCTCCAGAACAGTGCCAAGTGGTCCTCTGGGCCAGTTTGTTCGTGGGATGCTGCAGGGAGTTCACAATCTCTCAAAGCAGCTTTTTGCTTTTTATCACTTGAACTGAAAACTGCCTCCATTTATTCTAGTTCCGTAACCCCAAAGAAGCGTAAAATCCCATCTTTGGAAAACACCCAAAGAAGGTTCTAATTAACTCCAGGGTGGTAGGGGTGGGGGTGGAAGGTGTTACATTAGGGAGCTGTCAAAGTCATTTCAGTTTGCTCTAACTTGCATCAGCATGCCAGGAAGCTCATAATAATAATAGTTACCATTTATTGAATGCTTAACTAGGTGCCAGGCGTGATGCTAAATGTTTAAGGGAATTTAATCCTTACTAGGACCCTCTGCAAAACTGGAAGCTTTGAGAGGTTAAAAGACTTGTCCAAGATCACTCTGCCAGGAAGAGCTTAGGCCAGCAGGGTCTGACTCTGGATGGAGTGGTCTTCTCGGTCCATGCCCTGTGGAACTGTTTATATTTGATAGAATCTGGTGTGACGCCAGGCCCTCAACTGGAAATTGGGAGGTGGGCCACCATGCCACCCCCTGGCCTGGCTGTTTGGGCAAGGCCTATGGATTCTGGGGGCAGGAGCTGTGGCCCTCTGTTATCTGGACTTGACTTTCAGCCTGGGGAGGAGGGAAGGAGTAGGTTTTGCATGGGGGTGCGAGTGGATGCTGGTGGGTTGGCTGGCTCCAGATGGGCAGGAAAATGGACTCAGGAGAAGCCAGGCATTTGCTGGTGGCCTATACGCCTCACCTGGCCAGAGTGGCATCAACCACAGGCATCGCCTGAGCCCCTTCAGTGTGCAGCACTGCCCTGGGGGGAGGAGGCCATGCTGCCCTCAGGTGATGCTGGAAGACAGCAGGCCTTTACTGAGTGGGTGTCCAGAAGCAAAAGTGGGATGTAGCCACTTCCCGGGACCACCCTGGACCAAGCCTCGTGTGGGTCACAGGTGCTCACAGAAGAGGCGGTCTTCCAACCCTGGTGGAGTCTGGATTACTTGGAGGGAGATGACACATTGGAGAGAGGTTTAGCACCTTCTGGTTCTCCTTCCTTAGCTCAACCCCTCAAATTTCAGAGTGTCCTACAAGTTCTGCCCTTCGCCCTCTTCTTAGCTCATACCTTCTCCCAGGGCAGCAACCTCGCTCTGATGATGGCTTCATCTCCCCTCACCTGTGGATAGCTCAGGCACACGCCAACCAGAAACCTGTATTCTCTCACCTTGCTTACCCCGTCCATTCATCAAGAAACAAAAAACCAAACCCTTTCTGCCCCGCTTCATCCTTAATTATGAAGTGCAAGCATCTCTGGTTTTCTCTATCTCCACAGGTATGATTTAGTTCAGGGCCTTCTAGCATCTTCTCTACCTTCCTTCCTTTAGTCCAAGTGACCTTTCAGCATCTGCCTCTGCAACCTCACTTGTACCTCCCACCCCCAAGGCCCCAGGCCCCAGGCATGCAGGGCCACAAGCAGGTCCTCAAACACGCCTTGCTTTCACCTCCATGCCAGTGTTTCTCAGGCCCTTCTACTGGCTGTCTCTTCCTTATCTTTCAGGATGCAACGGAGACTATACCTCCTCCAGGAAGCCCCCTCCCCCTGTCCACCGCTTAAAACATTTTGCTCTAAGGAGATACCAGTAATATAGGATTCTGCCTTAAGTTCTTGGTGCTCTGGCGTCTCGCCTGGAGTCCCAGTTAGGATCCATTGCCCTAACAGTTCCTGGCACAGCTCACTTAGAGCTTGTCCTGTGGCTTAGCTTGGACTGAGGATAATAATAACAGTAGTCAGTATTGTGTTCCAAGCACGGTCCCATGGGGGTTGTTCCAAGCCCTTTGCATTGCCATAACTCCATCAATTGTCCTTACAACCACCCTACACGTAGATACCATTATCATCCGCCCCATTCTGCAGATGAAGAAACTGAGTTTCAAAGAGTTGCCCCGAGGCCCCCCAGCTGGTAAGTGGTAGCGTCAGATTTCCTCACCACTGTGCTATCTGATCTCCGTGGGCAGGCCTGGGTGAAGGGGTAACTCTGTTGGGTACATGTTGTTTCTAAAACAAACTCTGGTTTGGAAGGATCAAGCTGGTCTGATTGCTGAGAAACAGAAAAAACGCCCTACCTTTGTATGCACCAAGGGTCTTCCCAGCTATGCCTCCCTGGCGCCACACCTCAGCACCAAGCAGGCAGGCATTTGAGGTCCCCTCCACCCAGTGAGTGATCTGCCCAGGACACCCCCAGACCAGGAGAGCCTGTGGAGGGAGGTTGGAAGAGGGCCCAAGCCTGCAGTAAATACAGACCTCCGGGGAACCCAGGCAACACCCTTCGTCCACCCACAGAGGGGCTTTGGGCCAGTGCAACACTGTCAGTGCACAAGGTTCCACCGGGACTACAGGGGTGTTAAGGCAGATGAGACAGGGAGTTTGACGTGAGATAGGATGTGACTTGGGGTGCTGGGTTTTGGAGTTGGATACACCAAGCTTCAAGCATCCTCTTGGCTAAGTCACTTGACCTCTCTTAACCTTGGTTTCTGAAACATAAAATGGGCACTATGCCTGCCCCACGGGGCCAAGAGGGGGATTTGTGAAAAAATTCCCAAAGGACCTGGCCATGTGACAATTACGTTGTCTAGCAGCTGACCACCTTGACCTAAAAAATGGCCATTTTGGGCCTCCCTCGTGGTGCAAGGGGTTGAGCAAAGCACTGTGAAGCTATCTGCAGCCTCTGCAGCACGAGTTCGATCCCTGGCAGGTCAGGGAGCTGCCCACGTGGCGCAGCAGACCTCTCCTGTCTCGCCCGCTGCTCTCCTTGGCAGTGTATTTCAGTCAGTCTGCCTGTTCTGTTCCCTACTCTGTCTCTGGTGAATCCTCTCCCCTTGTACCTCTGGCCTGTACCCCAGTTCTTGTATGCATAACTAAATAAATCTTTTTAAAAAATGGCCATTGCATCTTGGATTCACTCGATGCTCAATTCAAGGCAGCGTGACTAGGCCATTTGAGGCCCTGTCTTGTTTCCCTGGACTCAGGTGGGGCTGACATTGCTGTTGTGCGTTGCACAGCAAGTGGACTCAGCCAATTGGCAGTAGCTACTTGACTTAAATTCAGTGTTGGGGTGACCCCTTCCTGCTCAAGCAAAGCCCTGTCCAGGCCAGAGCAGGAAGTGAAGGCAGGCAGCAGCCAGGGCAGGGGGCTGGGGTGCCCCCTCGGGAGGAGGGAGTATGGGCCCCAGGCTGTGCTCAGTGAGCCCCTAGCAGCCTGCCCAGTCCCTGGTTTCCTGGCGCTAGAGCAGTAGGCCCGAGCTGCCAGCTCAGCAGTTTTCCCAACCCAAAGCGCCCCCCTCTCTTTCTGAAAGTAATGATTTTCTAAAAATGGATTCCCTCCCCTCCCCCAGCTGCAATTAATCTACTGAAGACAAAGTGGCCGCCGGAGGAGGTCCCTGGTGAGTTTGGACCGGTGAGCGCTTTGATTAATGTAGGGACGATTTGCTGGCTGGGGGGTAGGGGTGGAGGGGGAGAGGTGTAAGAGTTGGGTGCAGTGCGGGGCTATGCTCACTGCTGCGTCCGTGGTGCTGCTCGGAGCCATAGAGAGTAGGAGAACTGGGAGCTTCTTTCAGGGAGCCTAGATGGCCTTCCTGGGGTCTGAGATGGAGTGGAAGGGTCTCAGACCCCAGCTCTGACGTCATCCCATGGACCCGTGTGTCCGGGGCCAGGTAAAACTGATAAATAAACCCAGCGCATCTTTTTGGAGCTGCCAATTCGGCAGGAGCTTGCGGGGAGATAGAATATGATTGTTCATCCTAAGACAAGCCCAGGTATAGCCTGTTGTAGAATGGAAACCGGACATGAGTTGGTGAGAAAAGCAAGATACTTCCAGGATGTGTCACTGCTCCTGGTGTTGCTTCGGCAGTAGTTCCAGGCCCCGGTGGAGTCTTGGACTGACAGGCAGCTCACAGAGGTCCTGGAGGGAGAAATAAATGTGTCTCTTAGGGCAAACTATAGCTCATTCATAGATAACAATATGCATTTGTTCTCAAAAGGCTCAACATTCTCCTAATTCTGGTGAAAGCTCTGATTAGCCCCATTTTAGAAGAAACTGAGGCTCAAGTTGTCAGTGACTTCCGCACGTCACCTGTGAGAAAGAG